TAAGCGGCATTCAAGTGACTCAAATCCTGACTTTTCCCCCGAGAGGAAAAGTCAATCCAAGATTGCTCAAAGGATGTCTCGACTCCAATTAGGAGCCATCAGACGCAGAGATTACAAAAGAATGCAAGAAGGAATGTCCTCGGAGGATGAATTCTCGGATACTTGTTCTGCAATCGCTTCTGATGGTACAATGTCTAGCACGGGACAAGCCAGAGAAGTACTCACGATCACCTCTGATCAATTTGCTCAAATGCTTCAAGAAGCTCTAGCGAAGCAACGTGAAGAAATCAGAGCTGAGATGAAGACAGAGATGGAGTTAGCTATTCAACGAATGAGAGAATTGCTAACTCAACAACCTCAACCTCCTGAGTCTAGTCAGCGAGTTGAATCCAGCCGCCACACTCAGAATGTTGTAGAGGACAGTGATCCAGAAGTGGATGAAGTCATTATAACTGATACACCTCCCAATGACAATAACACTGGGGGTGGTTCAACAGATCCTCCCAATAACAACATTGGGGGTGGTTCAATTTCACCGCTAAATAATATTGGGGGTGGCCCAATTATTTCTACTCAACATCACTCAGAAAGAGGTGAAGATGAGGACAAGAAAATACAAGAGCTTGAAAACAAAATCAACGCTTTGATGACGGCTCAAGAAGTGAAAAAGACGGGTATTCCATGTCCCTATCCAAGAGAATGGGATTCAATACCGTATCCGACAAAGTTCAATCTGATTAACTTCACACCGTTTGACGGGAAGAGCGCGCCTACTCAGCACTTGATTTATTTCAAGTCTTATTTGGGCATGATCTCTGGAAATGAGGTTTTAATGGTCCGGTCATTCGTTGGCACCCTTCGTGGGCCCGCCTTCGATTGGTACCGATGTCTCAAGCCAGGGAGCATCAATTGCTGGGATGACATAGAAAGTTTGTTTCTCAGCAATTTCTTCGATGATGACACCTAAGTGTCGATCGGAACCCTTCTGGATAAAAAACAAAAAGACGGGGAGTCAGTCGACAATTTTGTCAAGCGTTTCTGTAACAAGGCAATGAATTGCAGAGACCCTGTTACAGAGGAGTTCATCCTGCAAACATGCCACAATAATCTCTCCATCGATGTCCTAGAAACCCTGGGGGTCGTACCATCCAAAACTTGGAAAGATTTGAAAATGCGCGGCGAACAGGCTGAACACTTTCTTAAAAGAAAGAAAGCTGAGAGAAGCCAACCGACGACATCTACAATTGCTGTGAACACGACTCTCGATCCGAGGTTCCAAAAGGAGTATTCTTTCTAAGATGACGAAGCTCCAGCCATATTGGAATACCTCATCGCCAATGATAAAATCGAGCTACCGCCTATTAAAGATCAGGAGGGTGCTAAGATGATTACAGATCCAAACTACTGTGCATACCATAGAAGGATTCTTCATCCCACCAATATTTGCTTTGGACTCAAAAATAAGATCCAAGCATTAATTGACTCCGGTGTCATAATGGCGAAACAAGCCAAATAAAGACGACCCCATACTCCATGGGGGTACACGAGTATAAACTATTTTCCCTGACTCCGATAAGTATACGAGTATAAACTGCTTCTCCATCTCACTCCGAAGAGTATACGAGTATAAACTGCTCCTCGATACTCCAACAGGTATATGAGTCTAAACTATTTCCTTTCTTTCACGGGAAGTTCCTAGAGAATGCCACGCATGGTACTTTTAAGGATAACCCGATCATACAGCTAAACGTAATGATAAACCTAGTTTCGCAAGAAAAGCTGGGGGTGGATGGTTCATGTAACGAAAGTTCCCGAAAGAATACTATATGTAATTTTCTTAGGAATAACCCGATCATTGCAAACAAAGTGTTAAACACTACATCCCCACAGTGATTTTCGAATACTCTTTTGCTGAGATGAGGTTCGATCACTTCGTTGGATCAATCTTCCCTCACAAATTGAACGATCAAACCTTTAAACAGTTAGGATCGTCTCAAATTCCCATCTTGGTCAAACCTTTAAACAGTTAGGACCAAAGCCAAATCCCCTCTCGATTCGTTCCATGAACGAGAGGTCCACAAATTGAACGATCAAACCTTTAAATAGTTAGGATCGTCTCAAATTCCCTCTTGGTCAAACCTTTAAACAGTTAGGACCAAAACCAAAATCCCCTCTCGATTTGTTCCATGAACGAGAGGTCCACAAATTGAACGATCAAACTTTTAAACAGTTAGGATCGTCTCAAACTCCCACTTGGTCAAACCTTACTACAGTTAGGACCACAACCATAATCTCGTTTCGATTCACATTGTGAACGAAAGGTCTACTTTTGAATTGGATAATCAAACCTTATGACAGTTAGGATTATTCAAACCAATCCAGATTCTCTAAGTGGAGATCCCATTTTGAGTTTCCTTTACACCAGGAGATAGAATATAAAATTCTTCCTCTCCATCATCGGGTTCATCTCTACCAACAAACAAGAGACCAGGAGATAGAATATAAAATTCTTCCTCTCCATCATCGGGTTCATCTCTACCAACAAACAAGAGACCAGGAGATAGAATATAAAATTCTTCCTCTCCATCATCGGGTTCATCTCTACCAACAAACAAGAGACCAGGAGATAGAATATAAAATTCTTCCTCTCCGATTCCGGGTTCATCTCTACCAACAAACAAGAGACCAGGAGATAGAATATAAAATTCTTCCTCTCCATCATCGGGTTCATCTCTACCAACAAACAAGAGACCAGGAGATAGAATATAAAATTCTTCCTCTCCATCATCGGGTTCATCTCTACCAACAAACAAGAGACCAGGAGATAGAATATAAAATTCTTCCTCTCCATCATCGGGTTCATCTCTACCAACAAACAAGAGACCAGGAGATAGAATATAAAATTCTTCCTCTCCATCATCGGGTTCATCTCTACCAACAAACAAGAGACCAGGAGATAGAATATAAAATTCTTCCTCTCCATCATCGGGTTCATCTCTACCAACAAACAAGAGACCAGGAGATAGAATATAAAATTCTTCCTCTCCATCATCGGGTTCATCTCTACCAACAAACAAGAGACCAGAATACTCCAATAGGTATACGAGTCTAAACTATTTCCCTAATCTCAACAGGAAGTTTCTGGAGAATATTACTCAAAATATTCTTAAGAATAACCTGGTTACCTCCCAACGGGTATATGAGGTTAAACTATTTCCCGAACACTCCAATATAGTATATGAGTATAAACTATTTCTCAAATTCTTCGACAGCAGTTTTAATTTGAGACTTCGACAACGGCCACGCGATAAACGCAGCACCGGAGGAATTTTAGCTATTCTACAAAGCACTGAATAGGCTAAAAGATGAAGAAGTCAAGGATTGAAGCCATTCACAAACCATTCTACGCAATTTCCTCAACAAAGCACTGGAGAAATTGCAGGGAAAGCTTATCATATCCAAAGTGTCCCAGACCCCTCTCTAAAAAAATGATGAGTCTGAGATACTTTGGAGGGGGTATCTGTAGACATCAAAAAATGCTTACAGACATTCAAACACCACTCAAGACGATATAGAAGAACAATATACACGTCATCAAGCAACATATGGCGGCGCGGCAGGACATGGTGCCGCGGCTAAGGCGCGGCAGACCAAGGTGCCGCGGCTAAGGCGCGGCAGACCAAGGTACCGCGGCTAAGGCGCGGCAGCGATTTGGTGGTCCACGAGTCAAAGCGCTCCCGGCACAGACAAAGATCCCACGCAAGCAGCGATCCAAACAACGATTCTGCGTTTGTTTCTCAAGAGTTGTAATTTTTCCTTTTGTTGTGTAAAAGGAGTCTTATAAAAAAGCTATCTCTTTTTTTGAATTTATTATAATCGACCGAAGATATAATGAATTCCATGACAAAGTCAACTTTTGACGCAAACAAAGATGATGTTGGAGGAACTCGGGCATGAACAAAAGAAGATTTCTTTATTTTGTGACAATCAGAGTGCTTTACATTTAGTAAGAAATCCATCATTTCATTCAAAGATAAAACACATTCGAGTTTAGTACCACTTCGTTCGTGAGAAAGTGAAAGAAGGAATAGTAGATATGTAGAAAATTTATACCAAAGATAACCTAACAGATTTTTTAACAAAAGCAGTTAATACTGATAAATTTATTTGGTGTCGATCATCTTATGATCTATCGAAGACGTGAACAACATGAAGATAACAGGATAGAAATAATAGTGTGAAGATATGATTGACATTCAATCTAATCTTCAAGTGGAAGATTGATAAAAAGTTACTGCAACAAACACTGTAGCAACAGTGTGCACCTACCACGAACTGACATAAATATAGCTCTCCCTAGCGTTAAGTTCTGATCATCATAGCATCTCTAATTAAGAGTGAAAAGAAAGAGAGAGGAAGAGAGAAAGAGAGAAAAATAGAGAGAGTTTCTCCTTGAGAAAAGAGATTGCAACTCCTAAATTTTTATCATAGTGAATTTTTTTATCCTTACCCGTGGTTTTTTTCCCAAATTCATTTAGGGGGTTTTCCACGTAAATCTGTGTGTTTGTTTTATTACTTTTGCTCTACTATTCGCTGGGACCTTGCTCTATTGGACCCTGAGTTTGTCCCAACATTCACCTTCCTACCATTTTAAATTAGAACTCATCATTTTTATATAGTCATGAAGTTAATTTTAATATTTTTGATAATTTAAAAAATGCTAATTTTTTTTGAATTTATGATCACAATATTTTTTAATGAATTTTACAACGTAAAATTTAAAATATCTAAGTGAACTAACTGATTTATATTATAGTGAAGGGTTTGTTTTTCTCTATACAACTTATTTTCCAAATAGCCACGATTCTTCTTCATAGTATTACTCCCTATTCTTTTGTAGTGAACTTCAATTAACAGTATGTAAGAATCACATAAGTATAATAGAAGTGAACTTCTGTAATCATATTATATTTATTAATAGAAATTCCCATGGTTTGCAGAGTTGAAGCAACATTCTCTACCACTGGCGAGGATTAAAAGGATCATGAAGTTGGATGAAGAAGTGAAGGTTTGCATATATTATTTATGATATTACGCACGAATGCATGCTTGTCTTTGAGTGATAGAGATAAAAATTTTACTATTAAAAGATTAAACTAAGCACTAGTTATTTAACGTGATGAATATTCTTGAATTAGTCAGAGTCTACACCTAGAAGGTCAAATATAAAAAACTCAACATGATTAAATACAACAAAGGGTATACATGAAAATTGTTTCATTTTTGGACAGATGGTTAGCTGTGACACTCCAGCATTGTTTGCCAAAGCATGCGAGCTTTTCATTTTGGAGCTTACTGTACGATCTTTTCTTGAAGCTCAGCACCAAATGAGGCTGACGATAAGGAGGTGCGACATTGCTGGCGCCGTCCATGGTGCGAAGGTGCTTAGTTTCTTGAAGAATATTGTTCCAGCCGAAGCCATGGTAATTTTTTTTTAAAAAACTCAAAGATACTGTAATTTCAATGTGAATACTAGATAATTGATTTAAACGTAATTAATTCAAACTTTTGGTGGGTTTTTTTTTCTTTCGTCATAATTATCATAACATATGAACTCCGCCACACATTGTAATACTTTGATTCTTTCAACATAATTATATATCATATGCATGTATAACAAATTCGAATTCAAGAGTTTTAAAGACGTGTTATACATATTGCACACTTGTTGAAGCACCATTTAGAAATTAATTAATTTGTATATAGTTTTATTTTTTCTGACAATTTTTCTGTCATTTATTGGTTGAGCTAGATGGAGACATGGAAGGAAATCTGGTATGAACATAGTTAATTTTCTCTCTCTTTAGTAGCAAATTTTTTGGTCAATGAAGAATTTATTTTCATTCACCAATCTATAAAGTTTAGTACATCAATCTTCTCATCAATATGAGATAACAAAAAATAAAGGAGCCCAAAAACTAGGAAGTTAACTTCCTGAAAAATTTGAAGTTAACTGCCCTGACAACAACCTCACTATTTACAAAGAGATAATCCAATCTTTGTAATCAGCCGAAAAAGAACTATTAAGAATTATGATCATATTTCTCTAACCAACTGCTCAGGTCTTTTGCATATCTGTTTGAAAATTCTGGAATTTTGCTCGCACCAAATCTTGTATATAGAAGAAGAAAGAGTCATTCTTTTGATTTTCTTCCTGAACCCCTTACCCCTCAATCTGATACAATATCAGTTCAATAGGAGATTCCAATCACAAGATCTCCATCTAAACTGAAGCCAATCCATTATATGATTCCAAACATCTCTTGAAAATGAACATTCAAAAAGCAAGTAATTTCTTGACTCCATTTATGCTCCAGAGCACATCTATTATCATTCACAATCCCTCTCCGAAGCAATCTGTCTTGAGTAAGCAGTTTATCTTGGACTGTTAACCAACTTATCAAAGAGTGTTTAGGATAATTCAACCGCTCTCAAATTGTATCATGCCATGGTACCTTACTAGCCGCAGGGGATAGTGCAAGATATAGGGTAGAACACTGGATTTTTGAGTTTTCATAATAGGAAGAAATTATTTGTTTCAGGTTATCAGCACCACCACTGCAAATTACTGCTTTATCTCTAGCTTTAATCAACTGTTTCCACGCCCATGAATCACTTGATCTAGCTTGTACTTGCCATTTATCTCTGTTTTTAAGTAATTTTCATGTATCCACTTGATCCACAGCAGCTCCTTGTTGATATGAATGTACCAGATACTTCTAAGAGCAGATGCAAAATTCCAGATTGGAGCTGAAAAAATACCCAAGCCTCCTTGCTTTTTCCCTAAACAAACTTTACTCCATGAAACCAGTGGAACTCTAAAAGCTTGCTCTGCTTTACCCCATAAGAAGTTCCTGCTTAATTCATCAATTTTCTGCAAAACTTTTACATGAAGTATATAACTAGTTGTCCAATATATTTGAACACCTAGTATAACACTTTTAATAACCTCCATTCTTCCAGCATATGATAAATTTCTGCATTTCATCCATTTCTGAAACTGATTTGATACTTTGTTAATGAGAGGGAGGTCTGCATTTCATCCATTTCTGAAACTGATTTGATACTTTGTTAATGAGAGGGAGGCAGTCCATAAACTTTAGTAGCAGTTTTTACCTTCTATTTTCTCTGAGCTAGTATATAGTACATTATATTTGGTTAAATGTGACGCTTAATTAGCTAGTGATATTGTATATTGTATAAATGTCTACGTCCTTACTTCAACTGTTAATTTCTGATATTCACTTTTTACATTAGTTAAATATTGATCAATATATATTTGACTGAATTTATCTTAACTAACCTTGTAAAACAGGTGTACATCTATTATTTTCTTAACATTAATTTAACATCTATTATTTTCTTAACGTTAATTTAAGGTTACTTTGTTGTGAACCAATTGTTTGCTCATAGCGAACTTATGCAAATGTAGAAAATCATTGTGTGTACAATAGCGATTGAACTTATTCAACAGCTTAAGATTTTAATTGAGTTAAAACTTTAACAATTGAGTAACCTTTTGCTTGAGGATTATCTTTCATACAAGAATTTTTGATAATTAATGCACTTGCCACTTTATATAATTTGAAGGCCACGTGGAAGATGTTCTTCCCTGAAGAGTTGGGCATGGCTGAAGAACCAGATGTTGACGACTACATCATAAGCGAGCCTCCTCCTCCACCCCCTCTGCAGGTAAGATTATAACCTAATTAAGCTATATAGGTTCATGCATTTCGAAAATGTAAAATTAATATAGTGTAAATTGTATTATAAATTTTGTACTATTTTAATAGTGCAAGACACTAAGAAGTACTTTCACATGCTTGTGTTGCAGTATCATAATTAATATAGATTAACAGTACATTTACCAGCACTCAAATTAAAAATGAAAGTCTCATGGTTAGCTAAACTTTTTTTTTTTTTTGCAGTGAGGAGAGCTTCAGAAGCAGGGTATGACTGCACATTGTGATGGAAATGGGAAGAGAAAGTCATGCCTAGACCTTTCTAATAAGTTTTCACAAGTCATATGTTTGTGTTTTCATGTATCGAACAAAGTCTCTTTATATGCTTTAGTTAAGTTATGCTTGTGCTTTATGTAGTATTATGTGCATTCTAGTTTTGGTTTTCAGAAGTCATGCTTGTGTTTCAATATGTATCTTGAGGTGTCAGAAGAATGTTTAAGGTTTGGTATGAAATATATACGAGATAATCAGTTTGCTTCTATATGTTTTTTCTTTGGTCAATGAAAGAATTATATTCATTTTGAAGGAATTTCAGCATCAGCAGCAGAATCAAGAAAAACAGGTGGCGGTCGACCGGTCCGGTCGACCGGATTCGTGCACAAGGAGGTCGGTCGACCGGCCCGGTCGACCGACGGCTCTCTGGATTCTTTCGGGGTTCTGCTGGAGGTGGTCGGTCGACCGGGTCGGTCGACCGGAATTGATCGCGGTCGACCGACCCGGTCGACCGACGAAGCGGGTTTCAGTTGGTTCAGGTTTCCAGACCCGTTTCGCTTGGGAGTTGTATAAATACCCTAAACTCGTTTTTAGGGTTAGAGTTTGGGCGATTTTGAGCTGAGCAAAGGGAGATTTGAGGGCTTCTATTGTTGGAGTCTATTTGAGAGATCTTTTGGTCTTATTTGAGGGTTTTGGGTAAGATTTGTAACCCTAACTTGTACTCCCCTTTGATTTGAATAGTAAAGCTTCCCTCTCCTTGCCCCGTGGACGTAGGCATATTGCCGAACCACGTATATCTTGTGTTTGTGCTGTGATTGGTTGGCTTGCATTGGTTTGTGGTCTACTATTGTCTTGTGTGTGCCTTCGATTTGTCAATTTAGCTTCTTTATTTTTTGAGGTAAAAATAAAGCAAAGCACCAATGTATATTAAACTTCGAAACATACAAAGCAATCGATAGGAGAACAAAATTTCTAAGCCTATAGAAGACCTTACGTCAAGAAGAGTTCTGTGAGGGTGAGGAAAGTAGATAGTCGCCACTCATCACAAGCACAATACAACCTAATTGACAATCCACTAAATAGAAAACCACGTAGAAATTAGACTTCTCCTGCAGCCCCTGGGCAACAAAAGAAGGTATTAATTACAAACAAATTACAGAGATCAAGATGATAATAATAATAATAGAAGCTAACTTAAGTACTCGGTATCATCGGACTACTATACGCCATCCTCGAGCCACTAGCTTGCCTCTCCCTCCTCATTTCCATCAATCCTCTTCTAGGGGAGTGGAAAGTGAGGATCATCCAAAAGAAAATTTAGCTTCACTAATGTTTATTTAATAGAGAGGCACGTCCAGAGATGAAGAGAATGAAGAATATAAGCAACAAGGTCATCTGTTGTGAAGTTCTTCTTGTTGAAAACTTCGGCATTTCTTTATATCCAAAAACAATAAAAAATGTAATGAGCTGAGGAAGAATGATGGTGAGCCCTCTGAGAAGGCATCGGGTGATGCATTAGCAGTTCGTGGCCGTAGTCCAAATCGTCAGAAGTTCAACCGCTCAAAATCAAAGAATAGGGGTGGCCATAAAAGTGTTGGTAGAAATCAATGTGCCTTTTGCAAAGAAGAGGGACATTGGAAGAATGAGTGCCCAAAGTTGAAGGATAGAGCCGGGAAGCAAAGGGGGAAAGCTGTACAAGCTTCAGAGGTTAATGTTGCTAAGGTTGTTGGCGACATTTCAGATTCAGATTCTTCCGGTTATTCTTGTCCCGTACTGCCGTCAGTTTGTTATGCCGACTCTTCGGAGTGGATGCTTGATTCGGGAGCCATATTTCACATTTGTCCCAAGAGGGATTGGTTTACCAACTTTGAGGAGTTGAAGAGAGGAGACGTGGTGTTCATGGGGAACGATCACGTTTGTCCTATTAGTGGGATTGGCTCAGTCAGAATCAGAATGCATGATGGGGTGACTAGGGAATCGATTTTGAGCTGAGCAAAGGGAGATTTGAGGGCTTCTATTGTTGGAGTCTATTTGAGAGATCTTTTGGTCTTATTTGAGGGTTTTGGGTAAGATTTGTAACCCTAACTTGTACTCCCCTTTGATTTGAATAGTAAAGCTTCCCTCTCCTTGCCCCACAGGGGGTCTGGCAGCTTCTATTACCACAGAGGAGGACACTACCACACTATGGCACATGAGGCTTGGACACACAGGTGAAAAGTCCCTTCAGTCATTGGCAAAACAGGGGCTATTGAAAGGTGCAAAGACCTGCAAGATGGATATGTGTGAGCATTGCATACTTGGGAAGAAGACTAAAGTGAAGTTTGGCACCGCAATTCACAACACCCAAGGTATATTAGACTACATTCACACAGATGTTTGGGGCCCTTCTAAGCACACATCGCTTGGTGGGGCAAACTATTTCGTCACTTTCATTGATGATTATTCCAGGAGGAATTGGGTATATACCATGAAGCATAAACATGAGGTCCTGGATATATTTGTGGAGTGGAAGAAGAAAGTGGAGCTGCAGACAGGTAGAAAGGTGAAGACTCTTCGTTCAGACAATTTGCAGTAAAAAGACAATGAAAGAAAAATTGACTTGTATTCCTCTCAAAATCATTTACAATTTGGATTCCGATTACAAAAGAGAGGAGAATGAATTTGATTCTCCCCTTTGTTTAAAACTGGGTTCTTCTTGGTAGCGATGGAGTGCCTCCTTCGATTGATTGTGTCGAACTTGCTCTCCGTTGACGATCCGACCGTCTTGATTCACTGGAACAATTAACTTGTGTGACAAGTTTGTTTGAGAACTCTTAACGAGTTTAAGTTGAATCCGAGAGCGAGGAAGGCTATCTTTGTGGGATTTAGAGAAGGTGTAAAAGGCTTCAAGTTATGGGATCCACAAGATAAGAAGATGATCATTAGCAGAGATGTCACATTCGATGAGGTGTACATGATGAAGCCTCGAGTTCCTCAGCAGGTGGAGGAAGATCAGACAGGAGGGATATTGCAGCAGGTGGAGGATGATGTGACTCCACCCACTCCAGTCAGCACTGTGTCCATTGAGACTCCTACAGAGGTGGCACTGGAAGGAGATGAGATGACAGTCGGGCATTTGGAGGATACAGTTGATGGTGAGGCTCAGGAGCAGGGTCATGCTCAGGGGTCCATTGCAGCAGATAGACCGAGGAGAGAGATTCGTCGGCCAGCTAGATATGATGATGTCATGGTGGCATATGCTTTATCGGTGGAGGTCGTTGATGATTTGATTCCTGCCACATTCAGGGAGGCAGAGTCCAGCCCTGATTCCATTAGGTGGAGGAATGCTATGGAGGAGGAGATGCAATCTCTTCAGAAGAACGACACTTGGAAACTTGCAAAGCTACCGAAGGGTAAGAAAGCTATTGGTTGCAAGTGGGTGTATGCTAAGAAGGAGGGATCTTCTATTGGGGACATTCGGTTCAAGGCCAGATTGGTTGCCAAGGGATATGCACAGCTTGAGGGTGTTGATTACAACGAGGTGTTCTCACCCGTTGTGAAGCATTCATCTATTCGGATACTATTGGCATTGGTGGCACAACTGGACTTAGATTTGGTCCAAATGGACGTGAAGACGGCCTTTCTACATGGAGATTTAGATGAGGAGATCTACATGACACAACCAATGGGGTTTAAAGCTGCAGGAAGAGAAGATTTGGTGTGCAAATTGAGAAAATCTCTGTATGGACTGAAGCAATCACCGCGACAGTGGTATAAGAGATTTGATAGCTTTATGATTGGCCGAGGATACACGAGGAGCCCTTATGACCCGTGTGTTTATATGCGCAAGCTACAGGATGGTGAGCACATTTATTTGTTATTGTATGTTGATGATATGCTCATAGCTTCCAGGAACACTTCAGCTATTGGGAAATTGAAAAAGGAGCTGTCATCTGAATTTGAGATGAAGGACCTGGGAGAGGCTAAGAAGATATTGGGTATGGAGATTGAGCGAGACAGGGTGAAGGGGAGATTGAAGCTTACACAGAAGAGTTACTTGCAGAAGATGCTGAAGAAATTCAGCTTTGAGGGTAATACCAAGGTGGTGAGTACTCCATTAGCTCCCCACTTTAAGCTTTCAGCTTTGATGTCACCAGTTTCAGTAGAGGATAGGGACTACATGTTCAAGGTTCCATACGCCAGCGCAGTGGGTAGCTTGATGTATGCTATGGTGTGTACGAGGCCAGATTTGTCACAGGCTGTGAGCATGGTATCTAGGGACATGCACAACCCCGGGAAGGGGCATTGGGAGGCTGTGAAGTGGATTCTACGGTATATTAAGGGTACCGTGGATGTTGGGTTGATATTTGCGAAGAATGATGAGACAGGGCAGGATTGTGTTGGCTACGTGGATTCTGACTATGCTGGAGATCTTGATAAGCGTCGGTCCACTACAGGTTATGTTTTTACATTGGCTAATGCACCGGTGTGTTGGCGATGCACTCTTCAGTCTACAGTGGCGCTTTCTACTACGGAGGCGGAATATATGGCGGTGACTGAAGCAGTGAAGGAGGCTTTGTGGCTACATGGCTTGTTGGATGATTTGGGGATTGCACAGGAGACCATTCAGGTACATTGTGATAGTATGTCAGCTATCTATTTGGCGAAGAACCAAGTCTACCATGCTCGCACGAAGCACATTGATGTCAGATTTCATTTTGTACGTGACGTATTGGATGATGGTGATGTCACGTTGGAGAAGGTCCACACTAAGGACAATCCTGCTGATATGTTGACCAAAGTCGTACCAGGTGTGAAGTTTGGTCATTGTTTAAGCTTATTGAATATTCTTCGTTGTTGAGGTTGTTGGCGGCCATTTGGATGAACTACGTTCGACTTGATTCCTTGGGCAAGAGGATACGTAGGCAGTCTTTAGATGCAGCCGGTTTGATCAGTTGATCAAGATTGGGGGAGATCGTGTTTCAGCTCGAGTATTGTTCCTGGACCTGTTGAGGAACTATTTGCCCCAAGAGGGATTGGTTTACCAACTTTGAGGAGTTGAAGAGAGGAGACGTGGTGCTCATGGGGAACGATCACGTTTGTCCTATTAGTGGGATTGGCTCAGTCAGAATCAGAATGCATGATGGGGTTAGAGTTTGGGCGATTTTGAGCTGAGCAAAGGGAGATTTGAGGGCTTCTATTGTTGGAGTCTATTTGAGAGATCTTTTGGTCTTATTTGAGGGTTTTGGGTAAGATTTGTAACCCTAACTTGTACTCCCCTTTGATT